TCGTGTAACCATTAGATTATCATATAACTGTCAGAGATAGTTGATCTAACAGTTACAAATCCTGACGAAATAGTTCCGTAACATGACCGTACCGTCTTCCTGTTTTTATATTTGGTTAGGGCCCAATTATACAAGAGCAGCTCGGACAAAAGTTTTCTGCTCCAATTTTGTTTTTTCATGTCGTAAGTCAATTCTATTGAATATATGTTTTCTCGGTTTTAATATAAAGCCAATAGTTGGTTCTGTAGTGGAATCAACCTTCTATATACAACCAATAAACCTACCATATCACTTAAATAGCACTAATATAATTTTATTAATATGGTATGTTAATTTATTGTATATATAAGATTGACTCCACTGTGGAATCAACTATTGACTTCATAGCAAAACGAAACTGATTCTATTGAATCTATGTAATACCCATCATAATATCGAATTTGTATAAATGTAACAAGTTAGGGAATATAAAAATGGAATATGAGATCCGAATCAAGACGTGCAAAATTGATGTCCAAAATTAGACAACCTACGACCTGGCCACGAACTATCGATCATGCCGCGTTGCCACGTGTACCTGCCTGACTTGTTCTCCGTCTTCCTCCACTATATATACCCTGTTTTACACACTTCTGCGCCTCCTATCACCACTTTTTCAACAATAATAAACCATCTCCATTTTCATCGTCTTCGTATTTTTTTTCCTCTTCAGGTATGAATCTCGATTCATTTTTATTTTTGCCTTTCAATTTAGTTTTTGTTTCTGTAATTGATGAACGATAAAATGTTGATCCGACTGAGGAATTTGTCTGATCCGATGAATTAGGGTTGCGTTTGATTCCGAGCTGTCTGATCTGATTAATTAGGGTTGCATTTGATTCCACGATTTTGAGTTTGGGGAAGATTGTCCAAGGAAAACCATGTCTGATTATTACATTTAAGACGATCCTCGAAAATGATTAAACAATAGCTGATGAGGATTGAAACTGACTGTTTGGATTGGAGGCGATCAAATAGATTTAGAAAATTGTGGTCTGTTGAAACATTTGATCTAATCGAATCAATCTGATTGAAGATGGCTCCATTTGATCTTTTATATTTTTCCTATTTTTGATAATTACCGAATACTTTTTATCTACGATTTGTGCATCCCGTGTGGCTTTCTCGATTTTCTTTGATGGGATTATGACCATGAAGATTAGGTGATGCATGAGAATGATTAGTGTTGATATTAGGTACAATCTAAATTAGATTATATTCCGTGAGACGATTTAGAATATCAGTCTCATGGTACTAAATTCTCAAAACAAGTTAAAACAGATAACAAAGTTAGATGTACTATGCAATCAATTATTTTAATTTTTTATTTTTTTTCTTTTGGGTTAATCTCATTGAAACATGTATTTAGTCAAGAATGTCCTGTATTTTTTACAATTACTCCTATTTTTATAAACATGATGAGATTTTTTTACGAATTATTTTTATAGAATGAGCAACGAGAATGCATCACAAGTGTCTAACAAGCGTGCTCCCCGCTTAAATGAAAGAATTCTATCATCTATGTCAAGGAGATCAGTTGCTGCTCATCCTTGGCATGATCTTGAGATTGGTAATTAATTAAACATATGAAGTATTTTTTTTTTCCCATTTCTTCTATTGGAACACATATACAAAGTCCATTTTTTTTTCTTTGTTCAACTAAAGATTTGTTTTCCCCTTGTGTAGTACTATACATGATATCTCTCCATTTTTCTTTGCAGGACCCGGAGCACCGCAAATTATTAATGTTGTATGTACTTCTTTTCCTCTTCAAATTCAAATTGAATTTGAACTAACATGGGATTCTCGTTTCTTATAAATGCTACATTTGAACTGTGGCGATGCTTGATGCTTGGATATAAAATATTTTGATTTTTGTTTGGATTTTTATGCTTGGTATGGTTAATTTTGAAAAAAATTGGTATGATTAGCTGTTATGTAGGATTTTGAATTTATATTAAAATAATATTTACAATAAAATAATTAAAGTTGATTTGATTTAAAAGTACGAGAGATGATGTAAAGCGATGGTTAGTTAAAATTATGAGAGTGGATGAATAGTGAATTAAAATTGATGTAATGTGTAAAAATGCTTGAGTGGTATTATTTAATTATATTGATAGTATTGATGATAGTGAGGTTGTATTAAAGTTGAGTTAGATTTGAGTTAAAATAAATTGATTGGTTAAAATGATTGGATTTTTTTGGATATGTCCAAACATCCTCTTAATGCGCAACTTTACTTTTGTGCATTCATTCTTACATCTAATGTGCGCGAGTATTCCAATTATGATTTTTTTTCTTTCCACAACAGTTTCCAAATGATTTATTAGAACATTATATATTTGTCATCTCCTTTTAGGTAATTGAGATACCCAAAGGAAGTAAAGTGAAATATGAGCTTGACAAGAAAACCGGTCTCATCAAGGTAAGTTGAGAAATTATACAAATTCTCACACGCTTCACAAGAAAACCGGTTGCTTATTTTTTACATCAACTGAATTATCCAGGTTGATCGTGTCTTGTACTCGTCTATGGTTTATCCTCACAATTACGGGTTTATCCCTCGAACACTATGTGAAGACAATGACCCAATGGATGTTCTAGTCATTATGCAGGTTGAGATGAGATGACTTTATATAGATTTGATTTTCTTTTGTATGTAAATCATTTTATTTTAATAATGTAACTAAGTTTATTTTGCAAATTTTTCAGGAACCTGTTGTCCCTGGTTGTTTTCTTCGAGCCAGGGCTATAGGTTTGATGCCTATGATTGATCAGGTAAAGAATCTCATTTTGTGTTAGATATGCACCAAACTCTCTCTCTCTCTCTGTCTCTCTGTCTGTCTCTCTCTTTATATATATATATATAGTGTTGATTTAACGCCATAGCAATTTTAGTACCAAGATTCTAACATTTCACCTATTGGTCCTATGAATTAATATTTTGCATTTTGCTACAATTTAAGTCCTTTGAATTGCAACAAATTCCCAAATTTATAGATGTTTTATTAGCAATTTCAGTCCTCTAATTTAAAATTTTGTTGCAATTCTACTGGCTGCAATTTGATGACTGAAATTGTAGCAAAATATAGCAAATATTGCTGTGAGAAGTTGACAAGTTGGATCCTTCATACTAAGACTAAAATTGCTATGGCGTTTACGAACAAGACTAAAAATGCATTTTTGCCTATTTTTGAATTATTTATTTATATATTTTTATTTTGGCCAAATTAGGGAGAGAAAGATGACAAGATCATTGCCGTGTGTGCTGATGATCCAGAGTACCGCCACTTAACTGATATCAGTCAATTGCCACCTCATCGTCTAACCGAAATCAAAAGATTCTTTGAAGATTGTATCCTTTTTAAATATGTTATATATGCTCTCTATGGTTTTCGCTATCTATGTTATCTTTTTTGTTTCTCTATGAAAAACAGATGATTTCTCATTTTCTTTTCTTAACGAGTCATTCAGACAAGAAAAACGAAAACAAAGAGGTAGCAGTGGATGAGTTTTTGCCTTCAGATACTGCTATTGACGCCATCCAATATTCCATGTAAGTTCTAAATTATCAACGCATTGGGGCATATGATTACAATCAATCGAGCTTTTAACTGCTTTTAAGAATTTCTGTTAAACGAAAAATCTCATTTGTTAAACAGGGACCTTTATGCCGAGTACACTTTGTACAGCTTAAGGCAGTAAACGTATTTGACTGATGCACTCTCTTGCTTATGTTGGAGACATATTCGGACATTCAAATGGGGACATTTATAATATACACAATTAATAATTCATGACTAATTTGTCCGAAATAAGACATTTGTCGTACCATGAAATTTCAACTCGGCGGCGGTGATTTATTTACTTTATACTCTTTGAGAATTTTCTATGTTTGGGCTTTTTGGAGAGAATTTATCTCCAGCATTTATATAATTTAAGGATTTCAATACTGTGAGTTTACATTGTTGTTTTGTTTTAGTTACTTCGAAGGTATGCTATGTTGTGTGTGGCATTTTTGCTGTAGATTTTCTTTTTCATGATCAAGCCTTGAACATGAAAAGGCGTATATGCCGAATGAGTATTCGACCATTGGATTTCATTGAAAGAAATCCATGGCTCGGAATTTATCATCAACACAGAAACACAAATCGGAAATAAGGAAAGTGTATTTGTTTGAGAATTTTCAGACACTTATGATGTTCCGATTTGAGATTTTTTAATATTTAAAGATTTAAGAGGAAGTTTTATAAATCTTAAGCGGAGGTGAGAATTAAATTTCAGTGTTAAATAAATTAAATACATCATTATTTGTTGAGGTTTTTTGAAATCTCAAATGAGTATTTCAGGAATTTTAAAAGTATTAACAATAAATTAAATATCTCGTGATTTGTTGACAGTTTTTGAAACTCAAATGAATATCTCAGATTTTTCAAAGTCTTGAAAAGTTCAAATTAAATACAACAAGATTCTTAAAGTCCCAACAATTTTTTATGAATTCCAAATGAATACACTCCTAAAATTAAGAGAAGAAGAAACTAACTACTTGGAAAATGAGTATTGACCATTGGATTTCCATGGCCACTAAAACTTACCGGAAAAGTTGCCGTAAAATCAAATTATCCATCAAGGTACCAGTACCACATAGCACTATTTTTTTTTTAAAAAAAAAAAATGTCGAAACTTGACCAAAATTTTATTTTTGCTATGAACACGACGCATACTTACTACGCGATTTAGTTGCCCTTGATAAAACAAGAAAACAAGGGGTCGTTCAGTAAGTTTCATCCCGGAATTCACCGGAACCTAGACTGCAAGTAGCCGGAAATTTGAAGCAATATTCAAATCCACACTAACTCCCTGGCTAAAAGAATATAGGATTAGGCAGTGTACAGTGTACACCTTATTAATAAATTCACAAGAATTCAACTGCCTATGAGTATGAGACAAGCATTGATCCATCACTTGTCCTTGTGATCACAGTCATAAAACGAGCATGAAAAAAAAAAAAAAAA